CTCTCACACCCACAAGCAAATCCTCTCAGCTTTCCTTTCAAAATATAACCAGAATCCGACCACCACTTACTACTTCCACTGCCAAAAGTCTCGTTGGCCACCTAGACTATTGGAGTAATCTCTCTTTCACTCGTACCTTGCTTCCACCCTCACTCGTACAGTCTGTTCTACACTTGGCAGCCAGAGGGATCCCGTTAAATCCTAAGACAAATCGCATCCCTTCTGTGCTCACAAATCTCTCGTGGCTTCTCCCTCATCAGTGTAGAAGTCCAAGTCCTTTCCGTGTCCCTCCCCCTGCCACCTCTCTGACCCCTCATCCAACCACTCTCCTTGTTGCTCACTCTGCTCCAGTGCACTGGCCTTCTCACTTTTCCTCACACATGCCAAGCACATTCCTGCCTCAGGGCCTTTGCATTACCTATTCCATTTGTCTGGATCTCTCTAGCCTCAGATTTCTGCATGGTTTCCTCTTCACCTCCTTCAGGAAGTTCAAACATCATATTCTTACAGAGGCTTACCTGGGCACTCTATTTACAATCCTAACATGTCTCCACCCCCTCCCTGCTTTTCTATTCCAGACCTTTCACCATCTGATGTATTTGTATAGATTTGTATAGATTTACTGGCTGTTGCTCCCTTCAGGGATCTAACCTCTATGTGGGGCTATATATATGTGTGTGTGTGTGTGTGTGTGTGCGCGCCCCCCCACATATAGTTTTGTTCATTGTTGGAGCCTGTCCTCAGTGCCTGCAACAGTGTCTGATATGCAGTAGGCACTGAATAACTGTTGAATGAATGAATCAATGGAGATGTGGTGAACAAAGTGCCAGGATAAACCCTTAGGTAAGGGTATAACAGGAGTGGGGTGAACAGAACCTGAAAAACTGGCCCAGGGACCACTCAGGGTTCTCTGAAAGTTTTGGGGGTCAGATTATCCCTAAGTCACAAAGGGTTAAAAAACAGATAGGCACAATCTGACCACACACCCTAGTGTTGCCCCAGAAATAGGTTTCCACTTGAGTATATGTGTGTACACCCACTGGAGGGCAACAGTGGGTGATGCCTTCTGGTCACCTGCTCTGGCTTGAGACCAGGGGGCACCCAAGCATACTCCTCTGAGGCACAGCCCGAGTCATCATCAGAGATGGAGTGGCGCTGGAAGTCTGAGATTAGCCGACACATGATGCGTTCCAGGTCCACAGGCACTGCATGCACAGCGTGCTCCTCCCGAGGGCATTTGCAATGCTGGCAGATCTTTCTGAGGGGGCCGGGGTGGGGGCAAATTACTAAAGGTTAGTCCACTTGGACCCCTCTGCAGCCCAAGGAAGTCCAATTGAGGGGCAGGAACATGCAGATTATCACTCTAAAGGACTCTGAGCCTGAGGGTGGGCTGAGAGGGGGTGGGGCTGTGAGCCTGGGCACAGGAGGTATAGAGATGGAGCTGTGGGGTCTCAAGGCTGGTCCATTACTTTCAGTTCTGGGACCTGGGCCTGAATAGGGGTGGGGTTCTGATGCTGAGATTGGAGGTATACATTGGGGCTTCCCCTCAGGACAGGCCCTGGACATTGCAGAACTTTCCCTGGAGGTAGGCTCTAGCCTGTGCTGAGCCTCTGAACTTTTGGATAGGGCCCTATTTGTGGCATATTATGGGATGTTTTGGGTACTGGGATCCAGTAGGAGGATAGGAAACAGGAGTCTGGGAGAGCTGCTCCTAACTCAAGAATGGGGCTGGGCTGCCAGGGCTAGTGTGGCTCAGTGTTGATTGCCAGGTAGGGCACAAGCCTGGGTTGCACGCTAAGTCCCCAGTTGGGGGCGTGTGAGAGGCAACTGATGGATGTATCTCTCACACATTGGTGTTTCTCTCCCTTTCTTTCTTCCTCCCTTCCCCCCCTCTCTAAAAAGTGAATAAATAATATATTTAAAAATAAAAAAAAGGGGGCTGGAGGTCAGTAGTCTGTGCTCAGGGCCCAGGGCCAAGAGATAGGACCAGGAGGGGTAGGGAGGACACTTCTGGGGCTGGGCTGTGTCATGGGTGGAGCTCTCCTGCGAAAGGACAATAGGGAATGAGTCAGGGGGCGGGACTCTGAATCAGAGCGTGAAGCTCTTTTCCCGATTGAGCTTCCTCTGTGGACCACGCTCATGCCCAGGGGTGTGGCCTAAGTCTCTGGGGGTTCCCTGCAATAGTCACCTACCTCCAGCGGTGCAGCAGGAAGCCAGGGCACTGCTCCCTGCAGGAGTTGCAGGGCTGGCCTCGATCTGGGTCCTCTGCCTCGGGAGGCTGTAGTGGCGGGGCGGACAGCCACAGGATACCACCAGGCGCCAGGGGCAGGGAGGGAAAAGTCAACGCCCTCCTCTCCACTCCAGAGCCTGAGCCAGCACGCCAGGGCCTGTCTTATTAGGGCACCACTGGGCAGGCTGGGACAGCACCCAGAGCTCACGGAAGGGGAACATAGCAGAGATAGAGGAGGGACAGCTAAGGCCACCTCCCTCTACGCCCCCTTTTCAGGGAATTCCCCTTCCCAGGTTGGCCACCAACTTCCCCCACCCAGTGGAGGATTCCCCTCCACCAAGCCTCTGATTCCTCCAGGCCTCAAACACCTCCCCCAAAACTTAGAGTACTCTCCCCACTCAGAACTCAGAGTCTCTAATCTGTATGTCTACCCCCCCCCAACCCCAGGCCTCTTTCTGCCCTTCTCCACCCATGAGGCCAGCAGCACTCAAGTTCCAGGGGTAGGAGTCTGAGACCTTATCCTTACCTGAGGTCCACACGTGAACCACTCCCCCAAGCCCTGGTTTTACTCAAGGAACTGGAGAGCCTCCTCCAGGGCCTCTGGAGGCCCTTGATCCATTCAGAAACGCTGCCCCAAGAAGCCTTGGCCCTTACCCCTCATGTCCTGAGGCTATTCACTCCTCTGGACCACCAAACCAACTCCCCACTTAGAGACCCCTACCAAAAAAAAAAAAAAAGAGACCCTCCTATGTAGGAAGTAAAAGTTTGTCTGCTTAAGTGGAAGCCTAGAAGCCCTCTTACCCAAAATTCCAATCCCTTGACCCTCAGTATTCCAGCCCACAGGAGTGTAGATCCTCACCCTTCAGTTCACCTTCCACCAAGGTACAGGGGGAGGTCTCTTTCCTCAGAAGCTGGAAAGGACCCTGCTCAATCCAGGAACCCAAGACCTAATCTTTTGGCCCTCAGAATCCCTTCCCATAATTCACACAAGAGGGGAGCACGCCAGGTCCTTGAGATGCTAATAAAAGTGTTCGGAGGGGCGATTAGGGAGCGTGAGCCACCAGATCTCCACGTTCCTTTATCCACAGGCTTCCAGTAGCCCCAGCCCCTCTGGTTTGGAAATTCTGGGGATGGGAATTCCCAAACCCTCTGTGGAGTGCCTCCTCAATATTCCTATCCCTTGCCCCCTCTCCTGGGCCTCAGTTTACCCCTGACCCCTGACGCTGTACTGAGTCTTGCTCACCGCACGCCCGGAGCGGCGCCTCCGGGACCCACGTACGAACATGGCGCGCCGGGTAGGGTCAAGACAGGCCCGGTCAGGAGACTGAGATCCTCGCAGTCAGGCCATCGCGCGTCCTGCTTGGAAACTCTGTTCCGTAAACCTGACACCGGTGGGGGAGGAGCGCGCCCCGCAGCGCCCGCCCCTGGGCTTGTTGTCTCTGCCGGGCCAAGGCGCCCCCTGCCTAGAGGTGAAGGGCACGCAGTCCAGGAGTGCTGTGCGGGAGAGCTCCCCTCCTGCTCTACTGCCACGCACCCCAGATCCCCAAGGTGCCACGTGGCCTCTCACAGAACATTCTAGGGCTTGAGAACTCCGTAATGGAGGAAGGGCGACTTGGAAGTGGCGATCTGACTGCAAGGCGTGCTGCACTAGGGTACTTGTATTGGCGCTTTGTGTCCATTTATCTTGGATGCTTATGTGGGGGAGAGGTTAAAGCCCCTTCGGTCTCTTCTCCACCGGTGATGTTCTGAAGGACTCTTTATCCTGGATGAACGCTGCAAAAATGGTCCCCAATTCCATCACAGCTCTAGTTGGTAGTCCCTCACCTCCATCAGAGAGGTAGAACTTATACACCCCCACACATCCCACTCCCATTCCTTCAGAGCCAGGATTGAGATTTATGAGGAGGTTAAAGTCACTGGCTAGGTTACCATCTTCTCTTCCCCTCTCCCTCCCCATTCCAGTTGTCATGCCCCCTAAATCCTGAGATCTGATAAACTTCTTTCTCCTGCTCCCCTTTTTTTCTTAGTTAGATATCCTTTTCCCTGAGCTCAGTTCCAGAGCTGGAAGTCTCTCTTTCATGTTGTCAGGCCTTGCTGTGCCTTGGGGCGGGCAGGAAGGGGTCCCGGGCCCGCAGTCAGAACTCGGACGCCGGGTTGGGGTCTCTAATTAGGCGTGGCGGAGGCGGCGATCAGCCGATCCTTTCATCGCAGGCGCCAGGGATTTCCCTGCCCCCCTCCCACCCCATTACGCACATCCCAGACATTTACCACCTCTCCTTACTCTAGGGAGGAGCCTGGAGGGGTTAAAAACAATGAATGAATGAAATAACCAGTTACCCCAGCGCCCTACCTCCCGACCTTGCAGCCTACCGGGTCTCCCGGGTTTCCAGCTGGAAGGGAAGCAAAGGAATGAAGAGACAGCGGGGTCTGAAGAATACGAGTGGTGTTGGTAGAGGGAAGTCTCTCTGTGAAGTATGGGCTCCTATTCGAACTCCTTGAAGATTTGAGGACAGGGTGGAGAAGGTGTGTGGCTAAGGGAGCAGAAATAGAACTGAACTTTTGAAAGACAGGGCTTTCTGTGGTCAGTAGTGGAGCATTGGGCAGGGCTACCCAGAGCATGACTTAGGCTTCACTACTGTTAGAGGGGTCTCAAATGGTGAGATGACTTGAACAGTGTCCAGCAGGTCAGGGGCGGAGCTTCCCCTCACCTTGTCTCCTCTCTCCTTTTGTGTCCCCCCAAAGACATACTGAGAAGTTCCAGCCAGAGGCACTAGTTGGTTGAGGAGTTTATTTAGAGGAGGATAATTAATCATATTTGTTCTTCTTTTGGGAGGGAGTCTTCAAACAATACCGAAAGGCAAGGGAAAAGGTGGGGGTCTGGAGGGGAGGGGGAAGGGCCACAGCCAGACAAAATGGCAACACACAGTCACAGGCACTACCGACATCACAGACACAGCAGAAGGTGTAGGAGAGGGGCTCCAGACCGGGCCTCCAACCACCCCGGTACAGGTGGGATGTGGAGGGAGGGAGGAGGCAGGAGAAGAGGGGAGAGGGGTGGACTGGCCCCACAGGCCCATTGGCTCTGTTCTCTGATTACCTAGCAGTCCTGTGGTGGAGGTGGGCAAGGATATATGTGGTTGCTTCTCTCTGGATCCCACCCTTTACCCTCCATGCCATACCTCTCAGGTCTCCACAGGCCCCCTCAGTCCCTTGTCTTGGCCAGGGATATTCTCCCCACCACTTACAAAACCCATCCAGCAATCCCTAGCCACTGTCAAACCTGCCCACTTTAAAACATATTCTTGTCATTGCTCCATTGCGGAGTGGTTGGTCAGGCTGTCCCTTCGGAAACCACCAGGCATATTCCACTCTAAGCCCCGCCCCACCTAGAATCCTGACCAAGTTCTCACTCCAACAGCAGTCCATTACTTAATCACCCTTCCTGCCTGTCCGATTTAGAGTCAAACTCAATCTCCCAAATGTTCCAAGCAACACCCCTCCCATAGACTCTGGTCCCAATCCAAGACCTGCCCACTCTGGAGCTTCACCTACCGCCTGGTTCAAGCCCCACCCCTCTAGAACTCTCAGTGTTTTTCCAAACCCTGTCCCCAGGCCCCCAAGTCACATCCCTTCCATAGAACCAAGTCCTACTACAAGCCTTGATCACTTTGGGGCCCACCTGCTGCCTCACTCAAAGGTCTGATCTTTCTAGAATCTCACCCTCAGCCTCCTTCCAAGCTCCCCTCCAGAATGCTGTAGGGCACCCCTCTCCTTCTCCTTTAGATTATACTTCCAGTATGTCTGGAACCAAACTTCCTGCTTATTAGTCCCCTCCACCCCAGAGCTCCTCTCCAAGACCATCTTGGGTCCCAACCTCTCCAATCTCTGCCTTTCTCCCCCCTCCCACCCTACTTAGGGTTGAATTTTCTGTAATGGTCCTTGTTCAAACATTGCTGAAGAAATCAAGGCCAGAGTTGGGAGGAAGGATGGGAGAGAGGGGAGAGAGACTGAAGTCAAGCCTACCCTCCCCACATAGCCAAGGTCTGTCTCCTCCCTGTCCCTCTTTCAGAGTCCTCTCCAACTTCAGGGTACAGGGCCAGGGAACAGAGAGGGGCCAAGGGATGCAGGGAAAGGGCTAGGGGTAAGAGAGGGGCCCATTAAAGATTGAGCCCCTAATGCATGAGTGGAGTAGAGTGGGGACAGGGTATATATATATATATATATATATATATATATATATATATATATATATATATATAAAATCAAAGACAGTTAAGGGTCTCCTGGCTTGAGAGGTGGAGACCTGGGGTATAGAGGTGAGAAGGGGGGCAGGCCTTCTCCTGAGCTCTTGCCCACCCATGGGGTCCTCCTGGGTTCCACTGACCTGTGGAGACAAAAGACAAAGAAAGGAGAGGGGGTTCCAGACACAGGTGGCACCCTTAAGGAGGGGCTGGATTGCTATGTCTTCACTCTGGCTTTACCCTCTGCCTGACATGCCTTTTCTTCCTTTTCCCTTCACTCAGATTCCTCGAGTCAGTTCCTCCCAGCTGCCCCAACTGGGAAGATATATTTTTCCCCATTAGGCTAGGTACCAAAGAAATTATGGTCCTCACTCCCATAACCCAAAAAGTCTGTTAACAGAAACTGTTCTAGTCATTAGTTATAAACTATATTGAGACAAACGAAGATCCTCATCTTTGTGGAGCTTACACTGTAGCAGGGGAGACAGACTTAAGGTTATTATAAGTGAAATGGAAAAACAAAAAGTAGACAAGGGTGAGGAGATTAGGAGTGCCAGTAGTGAAGGAAGGTTGCTGTAGTAAGTAGGGTAGTCAGAGAAGACCACATAGAAGAAATGACTGGGGGTGAGGTGTGGGGATAGGGAAAGAGCATTCCTAGCAGGGGGTAGAGCCAGTGCAAAAGCCCTGGGGTGGGACCACGTTTAGTGTTTTTGAGGAACAGCAAGGAGGTCAGTGGGGCATGAGAGGAATGAGCAAGGGAGAGTGGTAGGAGGTGATATCAGAGAGTAGGTAATGGGATCACATAGGACTAGGTTGTGAGGACTTTAGCTTTGACTCTGGATGAGGTGTAAGTCATGGTGTAAGATTCTGAACAAAGAATTAAAAGTCTCATGTTGTTTCTATTATTTATTTCCTCAATAAATGTTTCTTAACATTGGTTTGCTCTAAGTGATGTGTGTACAGCATAAATAAGTCACGGTCACACCCCCTAGTCTAGCGTGAGAGACAGTCAATAAACATATAAATTGATAATTACAAACTGTGATAAAGAAAAGCACAAGATACTATGAGAGCGGTAAGAAAGGGGGACCTGTAAGGACCTGGCCAGGTGAGATTATCAGTGGGTGTGGTTGTGAAACTCCAGGAGGAAAGCAAGTATCAAGGCAAGGCACTAAAGTTGGATTGTGCCTGGCACATCAAGGTGGCTAGTGTGGCTGGAACAGTGCATGTGTGTTTGGGGAGGTGGCAGTAGTAGGAGGTGAGATGTCAGAGATGAGGGGAGGGGCTAGATTGTGTAGAGCCCGGTGAAGCCTTGGCTTTCAATCTGAGTGAGATGGGAGCCCTGGCAGAATTCTGAGCACAGGAGGAAGGTGGCCTGACTTAAGATTTAATGGTATCCTTCCCAATGCTGTAAACAGAACAGAATGGGAATGGGGGTAGAAACCTGTTAAGATGTTTGGGGGAGATGACAGTGAGAAGTGAGAAGGTTATAAATATATTTTGAAGGTGGGAACAACGGGAATTTTTGATGATTTAGATGTGGGATGCTTAATAAATTCCTCCCTGCCCTTTCCATTCTGGCCAAGTGCAAGAAGCTACCTCCACCCATGTGCAGCCACCTCCTTGCTTTTCTCACGCTATCCCCTAGCCTCTTCCCATTTTCCCCCATCATATGTGAGAGAAATCTCACTTTTAAGGTCGGGCAAGAAGGCCAGCAAGCCTTTCCAATGCCCCCGCCCCACCCTTTTTTTTCCTTCTTTGAAATTCCACACCACCTCCTCAGCCTCAAGAGTTGGGGGACAGGTGGCAGATAGATCGCCTCCTCCCGGACAGGCGAGCTTTTCGGATCTTTACGATCCTAGCCAGTTTACTCTCACCAGCCATTTGCATTATCAGGATTCATTAGCTTATCAATCACTTCTAAGACTACTTCCTCAGTCCTCCTGTACTCCCACCCTCCAGTGATTCTCCACTACACAAGTCCCTCTGCTATTGCCTCTTTTCATTGGTTGCTTTGCTGGTTTCTCTGTTCCGTTCCTTCCCTCCAAGCTACACTTCTACCTCTCCCATTGGCTCCTTATTCTGCCCATCTTCAAGAACCACTGTCTTGCAGCTGTGCTTCTGTATTGGCTCCTTCAAACTCCCACTCTCTTTTGTCTAGGCCAGCATCTCACGTGCCATTTACTACGGACTCTTATTGGTTCACTGACCCGCCCACCTTCTTTCAGGTACCCTTCTTGGCCGCACCGCCCGCCCGCCCGTCACTCACCAGACTACATCTGATTGGAGAAGGAGGTGGGCGCACCTTGAGGGCCATAGCCTTGCTGCCCGTAGTCGCCCTGAGGCCCATAGCCACCGCCACCGCCGCCGGCTGGCTGCCCGTAGTCAGGCTGGTAGCCTCCTTGGGGCCCGTAGGAGTCCTGGGGCCCATACCCACCAGGGCCCTGCCCATAGCCCGACTCGCCATAGGCGTCCCCAGGCGCCGGTTGCTTCTCGGGGGCGCCAGGAGGTGCACGTAGGAATGGGGCGGCCCAGCCTGTCTCCTTGAACACGAACCACAGGTTGCCGACCCAGAGCACCAGGTTCAGGAAGCCGAACACCTAAGGGGAGATAAAGCCCAGCTGTCGTCCCAAGCCCATTGCTTCTGCGGCCCCGGGAACATCGAGGCAACACGCGCTGGGCTCAGATCTGCGGGCTAAAGAAGGGTGGTGGTTTCTGAAATCCAAACGCCTGAGTTCCAGCGCATTAACATCAATGTGCAGAAAAACCACCTTGCGGGGGGAGGGGTAGGGCGTGTTAGAGTTCAGATTCCTGGGTTGTTGAAGAGCAGTATTATGTACATTTGTTTATATGTTTGTGCATTTATGTTACATATGCACATTTATACATGTATACAATATAATAAATCTAAATTTGTGATGTAGTGAAATATTAAGCATACACTTTGATTAAATATGTAATATACCACTAATAGATGTGTAATACACGTATATATGTGTAACTACAAATGTATAAAGTATATAAATATTGGGTTGGCCAAAATGTTTTTTCCATACAATGGCTCTAGTAGTGCTTAGTTGTCTTTAACTTCATTAGAAACAATTTTGTTAGATTGTATTGTGGCAGCTGTCATATCACCGTGCATTTAAAAGGCACTTATTGGTGAATTTTTATGTAGTCATACCCATTTTAATATGGAAGATGGAAGAAAAGCAACATTTTCAGCATATTAAGCTTTACTATTCCCAAGAAAGGTAAAAACGCAACTGAAACACACAAAAGATTTGTGCAATGTGTGGAGAAGGTGCTGTAACTGATTGAATATGTCAAAAGTGGTTTGTGTGTGAGAGACAACCAGTCAATATACTATTTTGCTGTGTATAATGTGCACCTCCATTTTTGTGCACATTATACTTGGGATTATACCCATGGCATGTAATCATCACACCCATGTGTAATGTGCATCCTTATTTCTCCCTGAAAAATTTTGGCAAAACACTGCACATTACACATGGCAAAATACTGTCTCTTACACATTGATGTTTCTCTCCCTCTCTGTTTTCCTTCCTTCCCCTCTCTCTAAAAATAAATAAAATCTTTTTAAAAAGTGGTTTGTGAAATTTCTTGGTACTATTGACATTTTGGCCAAATAATTCTTTGCTGTGGGGCTGTCTTATGCATTGGAAGATGTTTAGCAGCACCCCTGGCCTCTGCTCACTAGAAGCCAATAGCGGGAGATAGCCAACATACTCAGAATATCCAAATCAATAAACATTGGTGAAAATGAAAAAGTGTCTTATGGAAAAAACTAAATGGACATGTTGGCCAGCCCAATATATACTTTTATATTAAATGCATGTTGTACAATACAAAATGTGTTTTATAAAATAAAACAAAAATATAAAAAAATATATATAATGTATATAAAATAAACATATACAATATAATGCAATTTTGGGACAGGAAGTAAATATCTCCACTTTACAGTTGAAGATTTTCGGCCCACAGAGACTAAGTTGCCTAAGGTCTCAGAGCCAGCAAATGGCAGAGTTGGAATCTCAACATCTGTAATACTTGTATTTGACTTGCCATATGCCACGCCCTTTTCTAGGCACTCTGTATTATTAGCACACTAAGTATTCGACTTTGGAACAGGACCTATTCTTAGTTTGCAACTTACATGCTGGAACTGAGGCCTGAGAAGCTGAGTAACTAATTTCAGGTGACAAAACTTGTTAAGTAGCAGAGCTGGGATTTGACCTCACACAGACTCTGGCCAGTAGGGGGCGTCCAGTTGGGAAATATTTCAAGTTATTAATTTTGCGTGTAAGGAAACAGGATCCAGAGGGTACTGAGTTGCTGGAGAGTTTGACTAGGCTGGGGCTGGGATCCAGATCTCCAAAATCTAGTTGGACAGAAGATGTCATGTTCCCCTTTTGGGGACAGTTTGTGGTGTCACAGTAGTAGTTACAATTGCTATCTAATCCTTCTAGGCTTTGTTGTTGGTATGCCTTCTCTGGGGAGCCCTCTTGAATATCCTTTGAATTCTCTCATTCTGTCTCTCCACCACTCCCCAGATTTTAAGTGACCCATCTCGCCTCCCCAGCCAGCCTGGCCAGTTTCCCAGGGCTCACCACGGAGGTGTTGAGGCCAGAGGTCACAGGGTCTCTTATCTCCTTGCATGTATTCTCCTTCTGGAGGCAGCTAGGAATCTCCTTGATAATGGTCTCTGGGTCTGTGGCCATCTTCACATCCGACAGGCCCTTGGCCCATGCTGATGAGCTAACCAGCCACATGAAAGCAAACACAGCCGTGGCGAGGAAGTCCTAGGATGGGCAGGAGAGAGCAAAATGGCACTGTGAGTGGTCTGCTTCATGTTGGACTATGGGGCCTCCCTTAGGTTACAGGATTTCTTGGTAAAGGGGTCCCCCAGAAGAGGCTTGTCTCTCCCCTGCCTTTTCCCTAATACTCACTTGAAGATGGTCCTCCTAGCTTGGGCATGTGCATGAGACAGAGGATGTGGGTATGGGGGAATTCTGAGGGATGGTTGTTGAATCTGTGTCTTTCTACTTTCATCTGAATGTGGGAATATGTGTCATTTTATGTCTGGGATGAGGGTGTATGAGTACAGCTGTGTAGGAATCAGTGTGTCTGTGTGGCATGACAAGCATGACTGTCACAGTGAACCTCTGTGTGCTCCTTTCTTTAATTGAGACTGTGTGGTTGTGTGAGAGGTGGCAGGTTTCCTGGTGTAGGTCTGTCTGGGATTCTGTGTGGGCTATGAGTGTGTCTCTGTCACTCTGTGATTTGGTGTTCCTGATATTTATATCAGCAGCAGCAGCACTAACATGGGGTGGTGGCTGCTGGGGATGGGGCAGTCTGGGATTTGGTGTGACCTATGAACATGGCTGTCTCCTTGAGGCTCTGTGTCCCATGGGGCCCTTGCATACAAGTGGATGTGGGGGCTCACCAGCATGGGCCCTTTGTTGTTTTCTCGGTACTTGTTCTGCAGAAAGATGTAGGTGGCCAGAGCCCCCATGGAGTAGAGGAAGGCAAAGACTGCCACGGTGACAAAGAATTCCGCTGATGAGGAGTAGTCTCCCAGTAGGAAGACTTTGGAAGTGCCCCCTCTACAGTCGGGTGCATCAAAGTACACTTGGTGCAGCCTGCAGAGAGAGGTGGGTAGGTGTGGCCCAGACTTGAAGAACCCCTCCCCCCTTGCCCAGTCATGAGTCCCCCAGATTGACAAGGTCCCCAGAAGAGGAGGAAATAACCATCCACAGAGCACCTACTGTGTACCAGTCACATTTCACTGATTGCTTATAGCATGCTGTGAAAGAAGTTTTATTCATCCCTCACTCTAACACAGGCACCTTGGCCACTTGGTTATTTGTAGAACAAACCAGGCACCTTACCACCCCAGGATCTTTGCACTGGAATGCTCTCCTAGATATCTTTATGTTTTGCTTCCTTCATGTCCTTCAAGCTTTGCTCAACTGTCTCCTTTTCAGTGAGGCCTTCCCTGATCTTACTATTTAAAATTAAATTCAACTATTCCCACCCTGGCTCGGTTGGTTAGAGCATTATCCAGATACACCAAGGTTTTGAGTTCTCTCTGTCTCCCTTTCTCTCTTTCTCTCTCATCAATAAAATTTTTTAAAAAATTCAACAATTCCCTCCCAGCACTCCTTAGCCACCTTCCTTGATCCATTTTTTCACTGTAGTAGTGATAACCTCATTTGACATACCATTTTCCCTTGATTTTTGCTGCAATTACAAGAAGACAGGCCTTTGCCCTTATTTTGTTCACTGCTGTGTTTCTAGGGCCTGAAACAGTGTTGCCATATAGTAGGTGCTCAATAAATGTTTATTAAATAAAATGTACAGAGGCAGAAATGGAGGCTTGGTGAAGTGCATTAGCTTGCCTAAAGTCATATAGATGGTGAAAGAATGGTAGAGTTTGGGATCTGAACCCTGTGATTTCCCCCTACATCATACTGACTCTTTTCATACTACTTCAGGTCCCCAAGAAAAAGAAATGTATGCATAGCAGAGGAGAGCCCAGGAATTACAAAATAAGAAGAGACAGACTGACAGGAGGGTAGAAGGGATCCTGGAACAAGATGTATGTATTTGAGGGGAGGAGGGTCTGATTGTGTAGGGATGGGACTAAGGCTTTCCTTGTAATATTATGGAGGAGAGAGTCATAGGGGAAATATGTGTGGGGAGGACTGGGGTGGGGTCCCAGAACTCACCTCAGACTGGGGCACAGGATCCTGAGATTGAGCAAATGGTGCCAATACCCTTGTGTAGCAAAGGTCCCAAAGATTATACTTACTGATCCCCTATTATTTTGCATAAATGCCTCATTTAATGATCCTTCACCTGTAATTCTCTAAAGCAGGTATTATTATACCCACTTTACAGATGAACAGAGTCTCAGCAAGGTTAAGTTACTTGCTCAAGGTTGTACAGCTGTTAAATGTTGGAACTAGGAGTTGAATCTGGATTTGAGCTGCTGTGTTTCTAGTGTGCTGCATTGGGAGGGGAGTATCCAAGGGAGACTGAAAGGCCCTTGGTGGGTATTGGGACAGTGGTAGGTTGGTCAGGGGGACCCATGGCACAGACTTTATCCTGGGAGACTTGTGGGTAAAAGGTAAATCCTCAGGACCAGAGGTCCTAGGCATGGGAAGTGTGTGGGGGGGTGACCATATATTTTTGTGGTCTTCTGGATTCTCAAAGTGCCTGCTCTTAGCACTATCCCGCGCTGCCAATTCTCCCTCCCCATACTCTCTTCCCTGGCTTCTGTGAACTGGTGGATCCTTGGTTGTCCTTCTGCCTCTCAGGCCACACCTTCCCGGCACCTCCTTTTCTTCCAACCATTCCTCAGAGTCTTTGCTGGGCTTTCCTCTCTTCACTCTACCCTCTCACCCTGGGTAATCTCCTGAGCCTCCATTTACCCTTAGTGCTAATCTGCCTCAAATTTCCACCTCAATTAATGACCTCTTTCCTGAGTCCCTTGAACTTATTTATTTTCTTTATGTTAACAAACAATCATGGAGTGGTTATTGTGTGCCTGGCACTGTGTAATTCATTTAATATTCATCATAACCCTGTAATACTCCACTTTATAGATGGGTAAATTGTGACCTAGAGCAGTTATGTGATTTGTCCAAGTAGTGGAGGAGCCTCAGAAGTCTCTATTGAAATTGTGTCTGTGGGTCTCTGCCTCTCCACCAGCCAGGAAATAAATATCTCCTTAAGGGCAGGAAACTTGCCTGCCTCTGCTCACTCTCATGTACCTAGCACTGAGCACTGAGTATGAGCTCAGTAAATATCAGAGTTGTTTAGTTGGGTTTAATCATTCCTTATAGTTAAAGAGTACCCCCTCATTATTCTCTATCATAAAACTCTGCAGGATCCTTTCCTTGAATTTCTTCCAATCTTCAATTATCCTCTTTATTGATTAATTATTACAATGTTGGCTCCATGAGGGTAGGGAGCTTGGTCTGTTTTGTTCACTAGCACTTTGAGCAGTACAACAGATTCTCAAAAAAAAAAATGTGTATGGTTGAATGAATGGGAATTAAATAATGATACTGGCTAATATTAGTTGAGAACCTACTGTGTTAAGACTATATATACTTTTACTTTTGAACTTTGTTTATTGTCTGTCTCCTGCCCCCCCTTCACTAGAACATAGCTGGATGGCAAGAGCCTATGCATGTCTTTTTTTTTTAAGTGAAAGTTTATTAGTGAAGCAGTGGGACAGAGAGAAGACTACTCCACAGGTAGAGAAGCCTATGCTTGCCTTGTTCACTACATGTCCTAGATATCCAGAGTAGTGCCAGGCACAAGGTAGGTGCTCAGTGCATGCTCAGTGACCTGAATTGGTGTGGTCTCCTGGAGTAGGGGGTGGACAGGAGCCACTGGGGAGGAGGTATTGTCCAATCCCACCCCACCCCTTCCTCTCCCAGGTCTGTCAGGGTACCAAGGGTGGGCTAGGGTGAGAGCACACCTGAAGGGGTACTCGAATTCAACCTCGATGTTGAGGAGACTGTGGGTCTTGTTGGCACAATCCACGCTCAGCTGAAGCTCCCCACTGTAACTGCCACATGTGGCAAAGGCGAAGATGGCAAAGACCTTAGGCAGCAGGAATGGGGATGGCAGTGAGCCGGTGTGCATGTTGGGATGGGGGTGCCCTCCTCTGGACAGATCAGGGCCCAGCACAGGCAGCAGCAGATGGACCGGTCCCCACCCCCACCCCCTAATCAGGGCTCATCCTGCCCAAGGACAAGCTGATTACAGGGGTGTGGCTATCTCTTCCTGTCTTTCTTCTAGTGCCTCTGTCTGTACCTCTCAATGCTCTGACCCCCCTCTTCTCTCTCTTCTGTCTCAGTCTCCCTATTTCTATGTCTCTGTATTTCCATCTGTCTCTTTTTCTCTGTGTCTCTGTCTTTCTTGGTATCTCTCTCTTTATGTGTCTTTGTCTTTCTCAGATGCCTTTTTTGTCTTCTGTATCTTTGTTTCTCTGCCTCTGCCTCTCTAGTATCTCTCTGTGTCTCTTTCTCTTTTTTTCCCTTCTCACTGTGTGAATGTATGTCTCTCTATGTCTTTCTGTTTCTCAGTCCGTCTGTCTCTGTCTTCCTGCTGTCTCTCACTTGGTCTCTGTATGGTGCTCTCTCTGTCTTCCTTGTACTGCCCTTTCTCTGTGTATCAGTCTCCCTTTTTCTCCTTTCTTTGGGTGTCTCTTTTTCTGTCTCTTTCTCTCCCCATCCCCTTTTCATTTTCTGCCTCTCTTCTTGTGTTTATCTCTCTTTGCATCTCTGTTCTCTGTGCATCTGTGTCTGACTACCTTTTCTTTGTCTCTTTCTGTTTGTCTCCTCTCTGTCATATCTCTGTACTTCTTTTTTCTCGATATTTCCATCTCTATCTTCATCATTCACTGTCTCACATTCTCTCTCTCTTTTTCACTGTCTCGGGTTTTCTCTTGGCTTTGCATCTCTCCCGCAGCAACCGGCTGCAAGCTCCACCTCCCCTTCCTTTCTCTCACCTCGGGAGAAGAGGTAGGACGTCACAATCTTCCATTTCACAACAGGGGTACCCTTGGCCTTATGTGACGTCACTTCACAGCCCATCCATTCTCTGGCCCCAACCAAGCCCCTGGGACTTCACCCTGGAGTATAATTCCACCATCCTCTTCTACCCCCACTCCACTCATTCATTGCTTGCTTCTCACCCCAACTACACCCCTGCTCTTCCAGATCCCACTAGCTACCTTCCTCTCTCCCCAATGGCCCAGACCACACTCACCCATTGCAGCACCTTCAAAAAGCCGAGGGGCTCCTTGACCACCCGGAACTGACCCCCAGCCACCAGCTGAGGAGAGAAACGGTGGGGAGGGTATGGGGTTGTGGAGGATGGAGAGGGAGGTGAAGGGGGCCATCAGATGATGACCCCTGGGAATAGGGCATGTGACCTCTAGGAAGGAGTGAGGGCATTCGTTTGGAGAGGGGGTGAGAAGGAGAAAGTAACACTTTGGGCAAGTGTGGGTATAGCTTCCCTGAGAGAAGACGCTGGGGGTTCAGAACTGGTGGGGAGGTCTGGAGAAATGGTGAGGTGGCTGGCAGAGAGGGTCAGGAGTGAGGAAGATGGGGTTAAGTCAGGATGGGTTAGGGAATGAGAGAAGGTCTGAAATGGTAAAGGTGAGTCAGATGGAGAAAGGGATCTGGTGGAATGAGTGAGGAAGGAGTCGGGGTTCATTAGGATGAGGGAAGGGTCTGCAGCGGTAAAGGTGAGTCATATGGTGGTGATGGAAGGTAGTCTGAGGTGATGAGGATAGGGAGGGGTTGGTACTTGTTAAGGAAGGGTGAGGTTCTACTGCGTTGAAGAAGAGTGAGATGGCAGAGGGTCTAGGCTGATTAAGGTGGGGAAGGCTGGGACATGGCTTTACTGGATATGTGCTGGGGGAGGGGAGACTAGGGGTTTTGGAGAGGCAAAACCAGATCGACCCCCTTGGTCTGCTCTGGGGGAAGGAGTGGTTCTCCGCTAGGGTACCGTCTCTGTTTGGGAGGGGCAGCTGTCAGCCCTCTTCCCATCCCCCGCCCTCACACCTTATGTTGCTCTATTTCCTGGCTCATCCGAAGCACCCCTATCTTCCTTCCACTCTCCCCTTTCTCCCCCTTGTCTGTACCCTAGCCCCAAGACTCCCTCTTCCTCCCTTCCTGGAGGCCTGTAAAAGAACCGGGCTTGTGACAGCCCCCGCTGCGGCAGTGAGGACAGCCCTCGCTGCGGCAAAGGGCGCACTCCTTCTTCACCTCCCTCTTCCTCCCCTCGTCTGCCGCAGACCCCCGGCCCAGTGTCGGGGGCCGGATGTCCGTGGCCAGGACCCTGGTCACCACCTCTGTGTCAGCGGATCAGCTGCTCCCTGGGCGGGGAGGCCAGGCAGCCGCGGGCTCTGTCCGCGGTGCTGGATCGCGTACCTGATTCACCACGTCCATGTCGGCCAGCAGCAGCATCAGCAATGCGGGGGGCGGGAGGAGCCTGCTTGCAAGGGCGAGTGCGGCGGAGGGAGGGGTGCGATCGTCAGAACAGCCGAGACAGCCGCAGCTCCTCCTTCAGCGCCCCCACCTCATTGGCCACTTGCGCCTGCGCACCGCGGCTGTGCCTAAGTCACTGGCGGCCATTCTAACCCCGAAACTGGAACCCTGAGAACGTTCAAAGAAAATCTACCTCTCTGAAAACACAGGTGGAAGTCTGGGGAGGGGGGACCGTTCAGTTCAGTTCTACAGTATGACATTTTGCCAGGCCCTTTACTGAGTTTGTTGAATGTATTCACTCATTTAACCTTTACAACAGCCCTATGTGGTAGAGACTATTAGCTCCATTTTTACAGATGAGAAAAACAAGCCCCAGAGAGGTTAAGTGACTTGCACAAGGTCTCCCAGCTAGTAACTGGCAGTGCCCCAAATCTCTGCAATTTAAACATAGTTCAATGTCTTGAGGGTTTCTTCTCATCTGTATTTTAAGCACATCATATAATGCCTCCCACTTCCAACCATCTTCCCTGTTTCTCTCTCTTAGGTCAAATTCTTGCCTACTTTAACACTACACTTTACATCCTGTTTATTCCTCAGCCCGCTCTTAATTGGACTGCACCTCCTGCATACCACTAAAACTAGGCCCACCAAAGTCAATGGTGAGTGCCATGCAATAAAATCCAATGCACAGATACAGCTGGAATTTAAGATGCTCAAAATCACTCACTCATACTAAAAGAAATGGCTATAGAAACTACTCAAATATTGTTTCTCATCTTTGAGGATGGTGAATATGAAAAAGTTTGTTAATGCTCAGTATTGGCTGGTTGCCCAGAAACAGACATTCTCATAAGTTGCCCATGGAAGTTAAATTGGTATAACCTCTGTAGAGGACAATTTGGGAAAATCTAGCAAACTTACAAATCCATTTAGTGTTTGGCTTACCATTTACACTTATAGGAATTTATCTTACAGATAAATTCATACATGTGCTAAAAGATGTATGTGTTAAGATGATACACTGCAGCACTGTTTATAATAAGAAAGAGTGGACACTCCCTAAGTACTCATTACTGGTGACCTGTTTCAATAAACTCTTATACAGCTATACAAAATGGAGTATGCAACTGTCATTAATAGTATGGAGATATGGAATGATCACGAAGATATTTAGTTAAGACATGCAAGATGCCAAACTGTGAGGATTGGGTACAAAGAGAAGGGAGGATTATATCATAATTATAGAGAGAATAACATCTTAAATTGTGGCTGTTTTTGTCAAGCACTGTTTTAAGAGCTTCACTCATATCACTCATTAAATCCTCACAGCGACCCTATGAGAAAGGTACTACTACTATTTTCGTTTTACAGGTGAAGAAACTAAAATACAGAGAGGGGAAAGAATTTTCCAAGGTCACATAGTTGGTAAGTGGTGAAACTAAGATTTGAATCCAGGAATTCTGGCTCCAGCATCTGTTACTCTTAGCCACTTACTTATCAGTACAGCACATCTTATACATGCATAAAAGCTATCTGGTAACACTGGTTGCCTCTAGAAGGGAGGGAAACTTTTCATTGTATACTCCTTTGTACCTTTGGAATTGTGAATCATCTGAATGTATACCTATTTTTTAAAACACACACTCAAATTTATACAAATATGTAATGGATACTTCTCAGTTATTGTATTATTGGGGGATGAACATAGGTCTTGACATTCAATTGATTAAATTTAAATGTCACCTCTAATATTTATTCTGTATGACTTTGGACTTATAAGATGGTTTAAAACAGTACCTATAAGGTTGTTGCACTGATTACACAAGATAATCACTGTAATGCATTTAGCACAGGGCCAAATAAATGGTTCATTTTACCTCCTACACATCTCTGGAATCCACTCACTCCTCACCATCTCCTCTGCCACCTCCCCTGGCTAAGGCGACCATTGTTCCTGCTAATTTTAGCATCTCCAGTCTCTTTCCTTTCCCTTCTGTTTCAGCACAGCAAACAGATCATCTATTTAAAATACAAAGTTAACTATGTCACTACCTTTCTCAAATCCTTCCCATGGCTCCCCACTGCTTTTAGGAAAAGTCCCAGGGTTTGTAGCCTGGCATTGAAAGGCTCTGCATCATCTGGCCTCAGATAGCCTCTCTCACCTCATTCTGTAACAGTCTTCTTTCATTCTCTACATCCTGACCATGACTTGCTGTTCCCACAATACACCAGCCCAACCACTCTAAGCCTTTGTTTCAAGGTCTAGTGCAACTCTGTATTCTGAGTCCCGGTCTCCAGTTCTGACTTTCTTCAAATTTCAGTACTGGCTCAATTGACAAAAATTATACAAATGAGAAACCTTTGCTCTGAGATCTGGGCGGGGTGGGGGGAGATCCTAGGTCACACCCTTCCCAGTGGTGGCCCTATCCCATGCCACTCTCAGCACTGCCTTCAGTTTTTTTGAGAGGGGCTGACTACCACTTTGGACAAGTCATGTCACATGTCTAAGCCAGCTCAGTTTGCTCTGAGGGAAACTCAGAACAGTGCCTGGCACAAAGTAAATGCTGGGTAAACAGTCACTGAATGAATGAGATCTCAAATGCTGGCAGTGACTAAAGATAGGGCAAGAAGCAGAAAAAGAAGGCCCTGAGATCTATGTAGGAAGACAGTGGGTTACTCTTTGCTGGTCTCAGAAAAGCTAAATGAGCCCTAAGAGGGTTCTCCCAGATTGGGAGCCCCATCCTTTGCTGTCACCCATGTCTTTTGCCAATGGATTTAAATTTTCTTTTTCTCAGGCAGGATGTGGGAAGTGGGATAAAGGATGATCACAATTTAGCTCTCCTGAAATTCCCGATGCCATCAGAGGACCCTTCTGCCTGATACATCACCTCCCAGGCTAATTCTAATCTCCAGGCTTTTCTACTAGCAGAACTCTCCTCTGGTTTATCCTTTCCTTTTCATCTGTGTGTCCTTCCTCAGTCTGACGTGACTGACCTGTTGTGGGATCTCTGACTTTACTGCATTCCTTACCCAAGCCCCCTCTGTTGTCTTTCCTCCATCTCTGTCCAGGGCTGTCCCCCTCCCCCACCACCTCCACTCTGTCTCCAGCTTTTTTTGGGCTACTGTCTCTTCCTCCTCCCCCTCCCTCCGTCACTGACGCTGAATAATCAGACCTAGCTGTCCTGGTTTCCGGAAATACCCGTGTGTGGGCAGTGACTTGGTGCTGAAGCGGGGATGGATTGATGGGGGCTGCTGGGCAGCCTTAGGCTTAGAGTGCAAAGACATCAAAATCCAAGCGTGTGGTCCATGCCTATCTCCCTCTGGGGAGGGGAGGGCAGGAAATTTATTGAGTAGTAGGGCAGGAGTATGAATTCACAGGGCATGAACACAGGCCATCTCATCTCCCAGGTCCTCCTCATCAAAGCGGGAGAGGATGGACTCCTCATCACTATAAAGTGAGCTGGTTCCCTGTGCCAGTAGGTCACTGGCAGCACTGTCCATCTCATCCAGTGTCAGGTGACATGCATCCGCAATCTCCTGCTTGGCCAGGGCCACAAAGTGTGGGTCTTGGGCAAAGAGGCCCAGGCCCTCGGAGATGAGCACCTGGGGACACAGATAGGATCAAGGTTGACAGAGGGCACAGCATGGAGTCAAAGCAGCATACACAGAGAGATCAGTGTGGATAAATGATGTACCCATAAGAATGTGCAGGGAAGTCTAGGGGACAGTGGCACACATGTCATGCTGAGTACAAGCTGCAGAGCAAAGGGAGAGCTATGTGCACAGCACAGAGACTGGGGACCATTTTCCCCTCTTTCCCAAGCTCCCCCCTCCTCTTCTCACCCATCCCTCTTGCCCATGTCCTTTCTGGACTCACAGCTTCCACCAGGCTGTCAGCACTGCCCCTCTTGCCATGGTTGGGGTCTGACTGGGTTCCAGGCACATGCAGACAGGTGAAGGTGCAAAGTGGCCCACTGGATTTGCTGAGGTATCCCTCCCTTGCTGCACCCCCTTCCACCAATAACAGCGGGGCATACAGGAGCCGACCCCGCTGAGGAGGGGTTGCCCAGGAACCCTGGACCGGAATAAACATCACAGCAACAGTAATTGATGGCTGGGATATGAGGATATAAGACTTATTTCTGTGCCTACCTCTTACCGTCCCCCCAAACACAACTGGAGTCAAAATGAATGTATATAAACTAAACTTTAGTTTATTTATGAGCATAGAAGACCTGGGTTTAAATCTCAACTCTGCCACTTACTAGCTTGTGTGACCTTGGGTAAGCCTCTCTGGGCTTCTGTTTCCTTATCTGTAAACTGGGACTAATAACAGAACTCACCTCACGGGTACAGTGAGGGATATGTGAATTCATATGTGCCTTGTTCTTCAGAAGGGCCTGTCATGCAGTAGGTCTGATAAATTCAAACTGTGTTGCCCCCACCCCACCTCACCTGTGCCCTGCTGGGCCCTGAGTTGCACCCACGATGATAGGTGCCTGGGATGGGTAAATCTTCACAACTTCCCTGACGACGCAGACACTGGATGGTGAAGGAGGACTTTTGACCTGAGTGGGGTTGTAGGGGATGCCCAGGGGCAAAGAAGAATGTCAGTGCATCCCAAGCTCTCTGCCCTTCTGGGCTTTGGGGTCCCCTAGGATCCACACATGCTCTCACCTGCAGGTGTTGGGGGTAGCAGACGGCGGCGTGGAGCATGGTGTCCACCCATGTATCTCTGGGGTCTGTGAGATGGCAAAAGGATTGGGCACGGGGGAGTCCCAGCCTGTTCATTTAAGTAGGAGAGCCTATATGGGAAGAAGGGAGACCTGGGGGTGAGCTCAGACCTGGAAATGGGTGATGGGGTGCCATCAATCCTGCCCTCCTGCACATGGGTTCATCCTACTTGTCATGGTTAGAGTACTGGCCGGGGACTTCCTCTTCCTCATACTGTTTCTCCTGCCCTGCAGATCCCTTGGGCTGAAAATTTCCTTCTTCCGGAATGGTGAAAATGAGAGCCCCAGAACTTCTCCTGGGGAAAGTGAGGCAAGTTAGGC